TAATGATCAATTTTTAAGTTGATGGACATTTGACTGTTATGAATAATGTTATTGTGGCCAGTTTTTTTTTTTTTTAAAGTGATTCACTTATTTATTTGGAAGAAAGAGTGACATAGAGAGAGGAAGAGACAGGGAGAGATTATGCACCTTCTGGTTTACTCCCCAGATGCCTACAATGGTCAGGGCTGGGTCAGGCTGAAGCCAGGAGCCAGGCATTCCATTCTGGTCTTCCTACTCTTCCAGGCACATTAACAGGGAGCTGGATCTGAAGAAGAGCATTCAGGACTTAAACTGTTGGCATTCTGATATGGGATCCCTTTTCCTCAAGCAACAGTTTAACCACTGTGCCACAACACTGGCCCTGCTGTGAATATTTTTATACAAGGTTTTGTGTGGACATATGTTTTTATGTTCCTTGATGCAGATCTAGGAGTGGAAATGGCTGGGTCATAGAGTAATTGTATGTTTAATCTTTGAGGAACTCTCACACTCTTTTTCAAAGCAGTTCCACCATTTTACATTCCCGTCGCCAAGGTATGATTTCTCCACATCCACATCCTTCCCAGTATTTGTTAATCTTTGTCTTTTTTATTCCAGACACCCCAGTGAGTATGAAATGGTTTCTCATTGTGATTTTAATTTCCATCTTCCCAATAACTAGTGATGTTGAACACCTTTTCATGTGCTTATTGGCCATTTCTGTAATTTCTTCAGATAATTTTCTATGTAGATTCATTGCCAATTTAAAGTAGGGCTAGTTTTGTTTTTACTGTTGAGTTTTTAAGAGTTCTTTATATATTCAGGATTTTAGACAGATCCTTCTCATATATTTGATATGTAAATATGTTTTCCCATTCTGTCCATTGTCTTTTTATGTACTTGATATTCAAATGTTCCTAACTTTGATATAGTCAAATTTATCTATTTTTTTCTTTTGTCACTCATGCTTTTTGTGTCAATTAAGAAAATACTGCCTAATCCAAGGTCACAAAAATTTCAACTCTGTGTTCATCTAAGAAATTTTAGAGGTTTAGTGCTTGTAATTTAGATCTCTGATAAATTTTGAGTTATCTTTGTGTATGGTGTGAGTTAGGGGTTCAACTTCATTCTTTTGCATACGTACATGCATGTATCCATGCACCATATGTTGAAAAGAATTTTCTTTCCTCTTTGAAATATCTTGGCACCCTGGCTGAAAAGCAGTTGGCCCTAGATATAAATATTTATTTATAGACTTTCAATTCTATTCTACTGACCAATGTATGAGTCTATCATTGTACCTGTCTTGATTACTGTAGCTTTGTACTAAAATTTTAAAATCAGGAAGTGTAAATTTTCTAAATTTGTTCTTGTTTTTCAGGATTGCTTTGGCTATTATGAGTCCTTGGCATATCCCTATGAATTTTATGATTAGCTTGTCAATTTCTGTGTAACAAGCCATCTGGGATTTTGCTAGGGATTGCATTGAATATGTAGACCAATTTAGGAGGTATCTGAAACTCATTTGTATAGTTGTGTGAATTGAGGTTTTCTCAACTATGGAGTATTCACGTTTAGGATAGTTGGGAATTATTTACTGTAATGAATATTTGAACTTTCCTATTAATGTTCATACCATATGGTTATTCATCTTTAGTTTGTCCTGATTTAGAAGAATAATTGCAATTTATTAATTCATTCCTTTTGGGAGAATTATTCCAGAGATGCTGCTAACGGCTTAAGAGGCAAGGAAGTATCAATCAGAGCTCTCCAGGGAAAAACGTGAATGAGAACAAAGACAACAAAATGTCATTCCTAACTCAATTCAGCATTTGGCAAGAAAGACTGTAGGACTAGGGTGGGGGTAACTCAGAGAGATAAAAGGCACATATTTCCAAATGATTCTGACCATGAATCTGCAAAGAACTTTCCAGGCTGGACAGGACTTTTAGTCAATCTAGTGTGTGATCCTCCTCCCTGTGGCAGGAGATGTCTTTCAGGAAAATAGCTTGCAGTAGAATGGCTGATGCTTTAAGCAGAAAATCATTTGCTTATCATTATTTTTAAATAAGTATGCCACTGCGTATGAATTTTTTCTTTATAGAATTATTCAGCCCCTCTCAAAATTTACCTACCTGTTTTGTGTTTTTGAGTAACAAATTCATTAGGCTGTGAGTATTAGGTAAGTTCCCCAAACAATGGCAGCTCCTGCTGCTGTATAGGAAAAATCTGCTATCTTTACTGAGTTGGCTTTTACTCTGAAGATGGGTTGAAGACACAGGCTTCTGCAGACAAAGCCTTCACTAAATACCTACAGAGATAGCATCAAAGGGCAGCAACTAGGAGACCAAGCTCATGCTTTCCCTCATTTTTCATTATATACTTGTCATTGCTATCTTCCTTCCATCCCTCTCTCTCGGCATCTCTTTTTCTTTATTTCTCCTTTCTTACCCTATTTTTGCCCAATAACTTCAGTACTCTTTTCCCCTGTTCTTGGTCTTGGTTTTGGTAGTTAAGTATCTTTTTTTTATTATTTATTTGACAGATAGAATTAGACAGTGAGAGAGAGACAGAGAGAAAGGTCTTCCTTCCGTTGGTTCACCCCCCAAATGGCCGCTACAGCTGGAGCTACGCCAATCCGAAGCCAGGAGCCAAGTGCTTCTCCTGGTCTCCCATGCGAGTGCAGGGCCCAAACACTTGGGCCATCCTCCACTGCCTTCCTGGGCCACAGCAGAGAGCTGGATTGGAAGAGGAGCAATAAGGACTAGAACCGGCACCCATATGGGATGCTGGCACCGCAAGCGGATGATTAACCAAGTGAGCCACGGCACTGGCCCCAGTTAAGTATCTTTTATACCTTCATTTTCTTAGGTTTGTTGTTATTTTATTTGATATATATATATATATATACATATATATGGCTTATATAATACATGGTTATATCTTCGCTTCATTTTTAATAATAGTACTCCTTGTAAAGATTCTAGATGGCATAGAAAGCTGGTAGATGCTACTGGAATATGCGTTTTGAGTAACTTTGTGGTCAAGGGGTCTGGTTGAGACTGAACTTACCTGTGAAGTCTGGCTTGGTCATGGTAGCAGCAGTTGCTATCAGTCAAGAGCTGCCCTTTACTGTTGTCGTCGAGTCTTTATTTGCACTTTTATGCCACTGTTAGTTTACTTGAAACATCAGCTGTTAAATACCCAATCCAATGACAAGAAAACTTTAAAAATTATTTTAAATCATATTTCCTCTGTTTAAACTGAAATGCTGTGATTAGATATGGTGTATGTATTCTTAGACTCTGATGACACTTATAAGGAATATATGTATTTGGGGACTTTTTTTGAGTTTGTAGTTGCAAATCACATCATGGGATTAGTCAGAAAGCAAAAAGCAGCAGCTCTGTTTTTATTTTTCATATGCTGCTCTTGTCAGTTTACAAAAGAGGGTCAGTTTTGCTTCCTTTGTTAACACATTGGAAGGACCATTAAGAGATGCTGTGTGTCCTTCTGCATGCATTATAAGCTAAAGGAAATCATTTTAATTGGGTTTACTGTTGCAGATGCTGTGTATTTCAAAATTAGATTTTCTGAACGGAAGAATAGATGAATAGGCATGGAGTAAGAGATCTGGCATTTAGTCATGTGTCTACATGTATATTGTGAGCTCTGACATTAGTGGGTCATCTTGTCTACTTTTATAGCTTTAGCTTTTAATAGCTGCTCTAAAAAGGTCTGATGTTATAAGACAGAGTTTAAAAGCATGTAGCAGTGGTCAGCTGTGGCTATAGTCATTGTAAACTATCATGGTGTCTTTCTAAAAAGACTTATTTATTGTTTAAAAGGCAGAGTTACAGAGAGTAAGAGGGAGAGACAGGAGAGAGGGAAGGAGAGAAGGAGGGAGAGAGAGAGATTTTCCATCTACTGGTTCCCTCCCCAAATGGCTGCAATGGCCAGGAATGGTCCAGGCTGAAGCCAGGAACCTGGAACTCCGACCAGGTCTCCCACAGGGGTGGCAGAGGCACAAGCACTTGAATTTTCTGCTGCTTTCCCGGGCTTGTTAGCAGGGAGCTATATCAAAAGTGGAGCAGCTGGTTCTCGAATCTGTGTTCATATGGGATGCCTGCATTACAGGTGGCAGCTAAACCCATTGTACCACAATACTGACCCCTCATTGTATCTTTAAGCTCAACTTCAAATATGTCCCTATTTGTTTTCACTGTGGGTACTAAATGATAATGATTTGCTTGAATAAAGTAATGCCCTTCTAGATATCTTTTCCTCAGTTTTTGTTGTTAAGGAATAATCTGGAATATTCAGAATTGTGTGATGAAGAGTTTTCTTTTAAATGTGGTTTCAGAATTACCCAAGGAAGCTAATTCTCAAAGACAATTATTTTAATGACAATGCATGGTTTTATAAAAAGATTTATTTATGTGGAAGACTGACAGAGAGGGACACACACACACACACACACACACACACAATATCTTCCATCATCCATTCCTCAAATGCCCAGAACAACCAGGGCTGGACAAGTCCAAAGCCAGGAGTCAGGAAATACAGCTGGGTTTTCCAAATCGGTGGCAGGGGCCCAAGCACTTGAGCCATCACCCCCTGCTTCCCAGGCACACCAGTAGGGAGATGAAGTGGAGCAGCAGGACTTCAACAAGTCTCTCTGATATGGGATGCTGTGTTCCAAGCAGCGGCTTTTTCTGCTGCACCACAGTGCCTTCCCTGACAATGTATATTTTTGAAGATGATGCCAATATATTTTTAAAAGCCTATTGGAGGACAGTGTTGTGGCACAATGTGTTAATCTTCTTGAGACACTGGCATCTCAGATCCCGGCTCTTCAACTTTTCATCCAGCTTCCTGCTAATGCTCCTGGGAGGGTAGTAGATGAGGCCTGAGTACTTGGCCACCTGCCACCTATGTGGGGGACCTGGATGGAATTTCTGGTTCCTGGCTTCAGATTGGCCCAGCTCTGGCTGTTGTGGGCATTTGGAGAGTAAACCCAGTGGATGGAAGATATTGTCTCTCTTTCTCTCTCTTCCTCTCTTTCAAATAAGTAAATAAACAAATTCTACTTTAAAAAGTCCTTTGATGCTATTATAGATGTGGCATTTTTGAAATGATTTTGTCAGTTTTTATGAACTGTGAATTTAGGAGATGCATGATCAAATCACAAAATAGCTTTAGCAGTGGAGAAGAGTCACAAAAGGCTGCATTCACCCTGCAATTTTAGGGTTTTAGGCACAAAAATGGAAAACTGAATCACATGTGGTGATGATACTCAGATCTAAGATACATTCAGATTTCAGAATGTTAATATTTGAAAAAATGAGCATCTTAGAATAGTACTCAACATCAAGTTTTTTAAAATAATTTTTTAAATTTTCAAGGCAGAGAGACAAAGAGAAAGATACTAATAACACATCCACACCCAGAGAGAGCTGCTGGGGCTTGGCCAGGCTGGAGCTATAATTAGAGAACTCAATCCAGGTCTCTCATATAGGTGCCAGGAACCAAATTACTTGAGCCATCATTGCTGTATCTCAGGAGCTGCATGATTAAGAAGTTTGAATTAGGAGCTGGAAACTTGTATGGAACAAAGGCATTCCAATATGAGGTGCAGAGTCTTAACTGCTACATCAAACACCTGCCCCTCATGTCAAGGTTTATTTGGAGTTTTCTAACTCAGGAGTGATATTTTTCTTTTTCCCATTCTCGTCTTATTCTCACACATTCTGTATATATACATGATTGTAAGGAACTTTCAGTGAATTACCTGAGGTTGTGCCTAAAGTGGCAGCTTATTGATTGTAGAATACACCAGTTTCTATTTCCCTGCCTTTCTGTTGCTGGAGTTATCTGCCTGGTCAACACTTTTGTGCTAAGTCAATGGATTCTGGATCAGAGGCCTTCCAGAAGTCTGCTCTCCTCCTCTGGAGGCATGTAAGATTCCCCACTTTTTCTTTCTTGTCTTTAAGATTTGGTAATTGTTTTTTGAAAAGCGGAGTTATAGAGAGGCAGAGAAAGAGAGAGAGAGAGAGAGAGAGAGAGAGAGAGAGAGAGAGAGAGATCTTCATCCATCCACTGGTTCACTTCGCAAATGACCGCAATGGTATGAAGCCAGAAGCTAGGACCTCGGAGTATCTTCGGTCTCTCACATGAGTGCAAGGGCCCATTGGGCCATCCTCCGCTGCTTTCCCAGGCCCATTTGCTGGGAGTTGGATGGGAAGTGGAGCAAATAGGACTCAAACCAGTGCCCATATGGGATGCTGGCACTGAAGGTGGTGGCTTTACCTGCTACGCCTCATCACCAGCCCAAACTTTTTCCTTCTTAGTGCTTTCTAGCTTTAGTTTGACTGCCTCATGCTCCATCTCAAACAATACCAGGTCATCTGCTCTCCCTGATTCCTCCTACTCTGTATTAATGCCTTGTTTCTTCCACTTGGGATGTTCTTCCCTGTTCGTCATCCATGTATTTGAATCTTAATCAATATTTGAAGCCCAGCTCACATATCACATCATCAAGAAACCTTCCTTTTTCTCCTTCTCTCAATTTAGATGTAATAATATCTCCCTTCTTCATGCCCTGTGTTGTACATTTCCATTATACCATGTGCTGTGCACAGCCTTGTATTATGGCCAGTACTTTGCATGTCATATATTCATATAATTTTTAAGTTTTTGGAGATGAGGTACTCTGTTCCTATCCCCATGTATCACAGCACCTAGTAGAGCAGAGAACATGGGAACTCAATAGGTGTTTGATGACTTGAATTACAATGCACTTGAAAGAGGCGTTAGCAAGATAATTTAGTGTAAGCCTTTATTTTGTTAATACATAATTATGCAAGTCTTTCATACTGTACCTTTATTGGAGAATAAAGTACTGCACAGTTTGCTCTACTGTAGTCTAAAAGGAATTCACTTTGTGATGGTTTCAAAATTACCTTTTTATTTGTTCTACCTTCTAAGGCATAACATTTGTCAAGACAGCACTTCAATTTGTTGAATGTGCTGTCATTACTGTTTACAGATGGTATAGAATATATGATGTTCAGATTGAAAGGGGAAAATTACACTGAGAATCCCATCTGTCTTGCAACAGGATTTAAGACTGAGAACAGAGCCCAATTTCATCTATACTACACATCGGCAATAGGGAACTTTGAAAGAGATGATTGCTAAAAGTAAGCACCATTGTAAAGAATTTCAGGCTCTAAAAACAATGAATGTTTTTTTTTTTTTTGCAAAAGATTATTTATAAACATTCTTTATACAGTTTGATATGAAACCAATCTGGAAGTAAATGGGAGGTTATAGAACCATATTTAGTTAATAATTAGCTTTAAAGTTAATTGAGGGTGTTCTTTTGAGTACAGAATTTAGATGGCCTGTCTGAGGGTTAGGGGGACCAGATAGATGACACTAGGAATGTTTTTCTAAATCTCCTACTTGATTCTGTTTTGAGTCTGAATGGTGCCTGGCACCTGGCAATTGTTCAATATCAATCTCTTGCATGAGTTAGTACATGAATGGAAACCTCTGAGTCTGTTTCCTTATTGTAAAATGACGGTTTTAATATGTACCTTTGAGGATTGGTTTTCCTTTCCTTTACTTTTTTTAAAAAAAGATTTTATTTATTTATTTGAGAGGTAGACTTACAGACAGTGAGAGGGAGAGACAGAGAGAAAGGTCTTCTGTCCACTGGTTCACTCCCCAAATGGCCGCAATGGCCGAAGTTGCGCCAATCCGAAGCCAGGAGCCAGGAGCCTGGAGCCTCCTCCAGGTCTCCCATGTGGATGCAGGGGCCCAAGGACTTAG